AACACCACCAAAATGCTCTGTCCTGCTCCAAATTCCTTCTCTGGCTGGCGTTGGATGACCTGGGTAGGATAAAGCCTTTCTATGGGAACTCCTACCAGGACAAAGTTCCTTCTGCCAAACTGCTGTTGACCTTCAGACAACAAGGAGAGGCTGTCTTGTGTTAAAGAACTTCTGGAATCTCCCACAGTGGAGGGGAATTTCCCCTTCATTTTTTAACCTTCGCTTTCATCTAGACCTCCTTTAGTTACTTGAGCTTTGCTGTGCTGCATTTTTGTGCGTTTTCACATGTTTGGGGGCTTTCAATCAACTTCTGCTTCTCTCTTTTTAAAAGCTGCAGATTTAGGATACAGTGGACCCTTGTTATCTATTGAGGTTTGGTTCCAGGACTCCCCATGGATAACAAAATCCGTGGATGCTCAAGTCCTATTAAATACAATGGCATAGCAAAATGATGTCCCTTATATAGAATGGTAAAACGAAGGTTAGCTTTTTGGAATTTATACATTTTTAAAATATTTTCAAACCATGGATACTTGATTTTGTGGATAAAAAAAAAATCATGGCTACAGAGGGCTGACTGTACTTACTCTATACTGGAATTCAAATATGTTTCAATTTGTAGCTTTGAACAGCCCAGGAAATAAAATGCTTAGACCAAACCTAAGGTTCTTAAATGATGCACTCTTTATTTTAGACATGATAAAGTCCACTGTGATCCACAAGCTCTCACACAGAAGTGACGGTGTCTAATTCTCTGAAATTAGACACTATCATCATGACAGGAATATGAAAAAAACAACTTTTGGGGAATGCAACTCAAATGAGCATGAGGGCTGGGGAGAGGGGGATTCTAGGAGTTGAACCATGATGGTACAAAGCCAGAACTTACAGGGAGTTCTTGTTTGGAATTATTCTCATAGGAATGGAATAGAATTTAAAGCTAATGGAATGTAAAGTTTATTTCCTAGACTGAATCTCCCAGTACCCACATGGCTAGGAGGAGGATCACAATGAAGTCACACATGCAATCACACTGAAGATTTTCAGACACATCGTGCTCATCCAGGACTTAACCCATGAAGATCCAGGAATGCTTCAACAACAAACCATTCATGGGTAAGTCCTGGAAATGGTTTGTTACTGGAGCATTCCTGGATCTTCGTGGGTTAAGTTCTGGATAAGTGCAGCATCATCTCAAAATCTTCAGCACAATTGTTTAACTTTGCCAGGAGTATGGCTTTTTCTTCCCCGATTTCCCTCCATCTGTCAATTTTCCCCTTTCTTTCTCCTGTATCATTTTAAATACTTTCACCTGATGAAGAAGCCAGTGGAACTTTGAAGCTTGAAACATGTATAATGTGCATTTTGGTTGGCCCAATAAAGGTATTACTGTTTTGTGGATTTTGGATGACACTGTACTTTGCTATATGGCCAACATGGCTACCCTTGGAAATGTCTCAAAGGACACTCATCCTTCTTTGTATCATCAAGAAAGCATCAAGCCTCACCTTGGAAGAAGGATTTCAAGTGGTGGCAGTGAATGGTCCTGTCAAAATAGCGATGCTCGCTTGTTTCATAGAAAGTTATATCAGAACTGTGCATTGATGCAACTGTGTGAAAGGACTACAGCAAACCCATTAATTCACCTGGTTTAAATTAAGTTCATTGTTGTCATTAAGAAGATTCTCAAGATGGAGGACTCGTTCCACATGACACACTTAAAAGAAAATGGAGTTTTATTTTACATTAGACCTTTGATCTTATCTTTGAATGCACTGAAGGATAAAAAACTGTACACATTTTATTGTTCAGTTAAAAAGTCAAGACACACTGGCAGGCAAGGTTAATCTCACCATGATTTCTTGCTTCTCTGCTAAACTATAAATTGTCTTGGATGGCAGGCTTTAATCGAACCTAGACCAGACCTGGCTTCAGTTTGCATATCCAAGCACTTTGTGGGCAAGGAGGATGGAGAAGTTTTGCAAGCTGTTTCTG